TCTTGTTCAACGGATGGCCGGGCTACGACCATCTGGGCATGTACGTATTAGCACTGGCGGTGGTCTTTTTCCTCGCCCTCACCGTCGAATGGCTCTCCCACTGCAACATCCTCCGGCCGGAAACCGCCTCCAACCGGCGGGGGGCGGCGGCGGCGATTGGGGTGATGCAGACGGTGTTATATGCAGTGAGGATTGGGTTGGCGTACCTTGTTATGCTCGCCGTCATGTCTTTCAACGCCGGTGTGTTTCTTGTTGCTATTGCCGGACACGGTGTCGGATTTTTCTTGTTTGGGAGTAGGGCTTTTAACAAACAGAATCATTCTTCCGGCAAAACTTCTGATCTTCCGCCGATGAACTGTTGATGTAGCTTCTGAAAATTTTTGTAACTCCTTCCGCTTCCACTATTTTACCATTTTTTTTTTCACAAAATCCTATTTTTCATATCAAATATAGAAATTAAAATAGAATTTGCTGTAATTAATACCATTTTATAATTAACATATAAAATTATTATATTAACTAATTTCATGTGATTACGAATTTATAAACATATATATAGAAAATATATTATTGTTAATTAATGAACTAGTGTTCAAAAGATTAATTATTATTATTATTATTATTATTATTATTATTATTATTATTATTATTATTATTATTATTATTATTATTATTATTATTATTATTATTATTATTATTATTATTATTATTATTATTATTATTATTATTATTAATTATTATTATTATTATTATTATTATTAATTATTATTATTATTATTATTATTATTATTATTATTATTATTATTATTATTATTATTATTATTATTATTATTATTATTATTATTATTATTATTATTATTATTATTATTATTATTATTATTATTATTATTATTATTATTATTATTATTATTATTATTATTATTATTATTATTATTATTATTATTATTATTATTATTATTATTATTATTATTATTATTAAACTTGTATTTTAAAGTTTTATGAATTTGAAGCCCTAGTATTTCAAATTTATTAGGAAATCTTTCTAGATCTTGTTGTTGTCATGCTAGAATTAGTAAAGATAAGATAATGCAATCCTTTAAAAAAATATTTTGTAATTGTCAGTGATGTAAGATTTTTGTAAATTTATTAGGTCTATTTAGATCTTGTTTGGTTGTATTATTTTCATATTTTTTAATTTATTTTTCTGGAGAAGTGGCAATAAAAGTAAAACAACTTATATTCAAAGCTTGGGCTGCCTTTTTCGGCCCAAAGTGCACATATACTTGTTGGGCTCAGCAAAAATAAAATAAAAAAATAAAAAAATAATATGTTGACAGTGGGATTCGAACCCACGCCCTTTCGGACCAGAACCTTAATCTGGCGCCTTAGACCAACTCGGCCATATCAACTTTTGTTAATTTTCATGTATTTAAATATATCACCTCATGTCAGCTCTATTTTTTTTAAAGTAAATAGCTGCATAAATATGAATCAAAATACCTCCTCTGTTTACTTTATGCTAAAAGTGAAAAGCACATAATACATCATAATTGGAGTAAATTACGACCACCTATCTCGGGTAAAGTGTAGTTACAAAAATATCGTTTTGTTTTGAGAAATTACATTCAGTCATCTACGGTTTGTAAATTTCTTATATCCATTCTCTACAAAAAAAAAAAAAAAAAAAAAGTGTTAACGTAAGAAATCTACACATTACAGGGAATAGATGTAATTATAGAAACTGGGGAGTTTTTCGTTAATGGTCTTACCTTGGAGGCAGATGTAATTTACCCTCATAATTGTCATTCACATACCATCTATATCAATGTGTATAAATTAACAATTATTATAAATTATTAAATTTGATATATATTTCACCTTGACTCTCTTCTTCAAATATCTTCCTTAAAAAAGTCTTGCATAAATAGGTCTTGTAATAGTTACATCATATTAAAAGAAAAAATGATTAACTTTAATTGTAGATCGACACATGATTATACACACATGTGAAGTTGTGTACAAAGTTAGCAACTATCGATTAGACCGGTCGTGGGTCAGTGTAGCTAACAAGGCCCAAAGCGGGGTGGTAGGGGGTCTTTTTTTCTATTAATTACATTGGTATTATATTAAAGGGGTTAACATACTATGTTACTCAAACCAAATGTATTAAAACTAAATGACAATTTCAAAACTATTTTTTTTTTTAAATATACCACTATTTCATAATTTAATGTGATCCACATCTCTAAAAAAATCATAACTTGACCTTATACCCTAAATATAATCTATATATTTATGTTTCTCCACCTTAGATATATCTCACTTCTTTGTTTTCTCGCTCTATCACGATCTCCCGCTCCCCAATTATGATGGGGTGATTATGGCGACATAGTGGGTGGCAACGGCTATGGCGGTGGTGGGTATGGTGGGGGTGGTTATGGAGGCGGCTATAGAGGGTGGTGGCGGCTATGGAAGTGATGGGTATGGTGGAGTGATTATATATGGAGGCTGCTATAGTGGATGGCGACGACTATGAAGGCAGTGGGTATGGTGGGTGTGGTTATGGAGGATGCTAATTGAGCTTGTGGGAATGGTGGGGACTGTTATGAAGGCGGTTA